TTTTTTTTTTTTTTTTTTTTTTTTTTGGTCATACTTTTGTTAATTTGGTTTCTCCGTACTATCTGCAGTATTTGTCTAACACTAAGTCAATAAAGAAATATTTTTTTAACGTTCATCTTCCCATATAAATTTAGGTGGATCAAACACCGCCTCCTTCGCCAACTTCTTCTAAACAGTCACAAACTATGCAGTTTTTCGAAATGTGTGCTTCATTGATTGGAACTCTGGCACGTTAACGCTCTTGCCATTATTTTCATTTTGGAGGAAGATAGATTTGTTTACTTTTTATGTTTCTGAATTTGCTTCTTCTTTTTGGTTTTCCTCATGGTGGATAAAGTTTACTGGTTGAGAATCCTGGCGTGTTGTGCAATCATCAGGCTGCTTTGTCTAATATTTTTATCTTTTATATGATACACATGCGACGTCGTTAAAGGTTCTTTCGCCCCAGAAGAAGGTAAACGTATACATATAGAAATTTTCTAGTAGTTTTTGACGTTTATGCGGTAAGAACTTTGAGTATGTGGTAGTTTTTAGCAAACATTTTTGGGCGAATGATTTCAGTGAGTGAAGATGATGAGCAGTTGATGTAACCTTTTTACGACTATGTGTATTTAGTTTTATTTACTTGCTTAAAATTTTGTAAGTTGTTCTGTTGTTCTTAAATTTTCCGCTACTTTACTTATACAATCTGATTTTATCTTGATTTTGTTTTTGGATAGCAGTTTTTATGAGGTGTTCAGGAAGACGAGGTATATTGAAAATTTTTTCAAGGATAACTTTGTTTATTTTTTTGTTTGATTCACGCTGATCTTTTTTTTGTCATTAATATATGTTGTATTTTGTTTTAACATAACTTCATAGAAACTTTATACTGCCACATCCTACGTCTTATTGTTGCTTCTTCATTCGATACATTTTTTTCGTAGATACTAGTAGAGGAGTAGCGGCAAAACAGCGGTTTTCTTGTATCTTCATTGTTAAATATTTCTGTGGTCTTGCATTTTCGGGTGAGAGAATTATTCTTGTATTTTTGTTGTAGGTTTTTTATTTTTTAGGCATTTGTGTAAAAAAGTTTAGCTGCTCTACACAATCTAGAGTCTTAAGGAGGCGTGCCATCTCCGTTTGTATCTTCCCTCCTGCTCAGCTTTTTTTAACAACTTTTTTAATTTTTTGTGCAAATCTTTTTATGGTGGTGGTAATAATTTTTTAACAAGTTTCTATGAAGTATTGTAGTGTCAGTGAGACCCCGAGCGTAAATTAGTGTATTTATTGTTTTGCTAGAAAAACCTGGTTAGGTTTGAAGGTTGTTTTTCTTCTGCTCCCTCTTGAGGCTTCTATATTTTGTTCCATCTTTCGGTCATCTATTTTTGTTCTTTGAGTGTTTACGCTATATGCATCTAGAACCAATTCTTTATTTTCTCCTCTTCTAAGTAACCCACTTTTTCGCAGTAGTTAAAGGGGTTATAAGATGTATATATTACTACATACTAGATAAAATGCTTCCTGTCACCGCTTTCTTTATCGCCAGTCAGTGGCCATGTAAATCAGCGCTTTCTTGAAATCCTGTTGTAAAGCAGTATCAAATTTAAAAGTTTGATACGGATTAAAAATGATCGTGAGGGCTATCGTCGTCGTGTAATATACACTTCAGTGCAAAATTACAGTGATTAAAGTACGAGAAGTTTTTTCCGAGACCACTTCATTAAGAATTAACGGGAACTATTTTTTTCGAGGCGCTTCAGAGTTTTTTTTCTATGAAATTTTACTTTTCAAAGGATTCTTGTTTATAATTTGAGTAGTGGGGAAGGATTGTTGTCAGTAAAGGAATTGAACTATATTTTGCAAATAACTATGGTAGATTACTCAGCTTGGCAGTTTCAAGTTTCTTGAGCTTCACATTGTCGTACCTGGTTGCAGTTGTATAGTGCTGCATTTTTTGAACGATGATAGTTAAGGTGAAAAACGGTTTGGAATTATTGGTGTGGGAAAAAAATGATTAGATACGAGGGAACAACTTGCTCTAGCCTGTAAAGTATAAACGCATGAACAGCAAACCGTGTTCGAAGTTGGTGCGTTACCCTCGCAGATTGGTGTTTAGAAGACTTGAAGATTACAGT